TAAGTTAGACGTGCGAGCGAGAAGAGTGCTATTAGTTGGTTATTTAACGAAAAAATTGGGACAATAAAGACAGCAGCCAGCGAAGAGGACCCTGAAATAATTTTTCCAAAGGACGAGCAAGAAATTTGTTTACTGGACAACGAGGATGACAATGAAGAGAACGAGGTCTTTCTGCCAGTTGTAGATAACGAAGAAGTGGAACGAGCAGAGCGAGCGAAAACAACCCAACCAAGACCAAATTTAAGAAATCGAGAGAGTTTGAGACGCCCAGCTCGTTATGAATCGAATGTGGCTGCGTTAATCGCACCATTGTCGTTTAAGGAAGCAATGGAAAGTGAAGAAGCTTTTCAGTGGATTGATGCAATCAATAGCGAATTGAAAGCGCATCGCGAGAACAGAACCTGGTCATTGGTCGAAAGAAAGCCAGGTATGAAAATAATAGATTCAAAGTGGGTCTTCAAACTCATGAAAGACGAGAAAGGAAACGTGCACAGGTTTAAAGCACGATTGTGTGCTAGAGGATTTATGCAGCAGCAGGAAGTGGATTTTACAGAGACATTTGCTCCAGTCGTAAGGTACGACTCGCTTAGGACGCTATTCGCAGTGGTTGCATCTGAGGATCTCGAGCTGGCCCAATTCGATGTACAGACGGCATTTTTACATGGGGAATTGGAGGAAAAAATCTACATGGCGGTTCCAGAGGGTCTAGGAGCCAAAGAGTTAAGTGATAGTGCAAAAAAGGATGTTGTGTGTCGCTTGCAAAAATCACTTTACGGACTGAAACAAGCTCCTAGGTGTTGGAACACGAAGTTCAGTGCTACAAATGTATTTTCGTAGGAAGCGTCGAGAAATCTGTAGTGTATTTAGCATTGTATGTTGATGACGGGTTAATTGCAGCAAAAACTTGAACGATTCTCGGGTCTGTGATTGAGCATCTGGACAGTGCGTTCAAAATCACTATAGGAGATGCGAGTATGTTTGTGGGTATGCAGATTGAGCGAGCTAGAGAGAGAAAATCTATTTTTGTACATCAGAGTGCGTATGCAAAGAGAGCAATCGATAAGTTTTGTATGAGTAACGCTAATCCGGTTAGTATACCGTCCGATCCGCACGGTACTGTATCCCGTAACAAAAGACAAAATAGAGTCCAAAAATGTACCATATCGCGAAGCTGTAGGGTCACTTATGTTCCTGGCTATAGTCTTACGTCCAGATATTGCATATTCAGTCAATTCGGTAAGCAAATATTTAAGCAAACACAATGACGCTCATTGGCGAGCAGTGAAGCGCATACTAGCTGGAAGCGCGTACCTTGTTGGAACGGTCGAGTATGGAATCTAGTTTCGCGGTGGCAAAAGCGCGCTAAAATTGATTGGCTATTCCGATGCCGATTTTGCGAGTGATATGGAGACCAGAAGGTCAACCACTGGATACCTTTTCAAGCTAGCGTCCGGTCTAATCACGTTGTGCTCCCAGAGACAAAGACTTGTAACGACGAGTACGATGGAATCCGAGTATGTAGTAGCGTCGGCTGCAGCAAGGGAGGCCATTTGGTTACGAAGATTTATAAAAGATATCAGACATCCATGTGCAGAGGCAACAATAATTTTTGTAGATAATGAAAGTGCAATAAAATTAGTAAAAAATCCCGAATTCCATCAGCGTTCAAAGCACATTGATATCCGTTATCACTATATACGAGAAAAATATGAGGAAAGAGAGATAATGGTTAAGCACATCTCTTCTAAAGTATAAAAGGCTGATATCTTTACAAAAGCGTTACCTAGAGAAAGATTCAGAATGATGCGTGAAAGTATGAGCACAGTAGAGTGTACAACATGCTTAAACGGTGAGAGTATTAATGTAGTTTAATGCATATTGTATCGACAATGATCGGTAAGAAAGCGAGCTTATGTACTCCGTGATTGGCTTACAGCCTAGTGTCTATTCGAGCGCTGTGAGCGCTACTCGGAGAGCTGAGCGTCGTTGCGTCACGTCCGGTCAGTCTTGTTACTGCAGCCATACCAAAGAGAATAAATAGTCTGTGATCAGAGTTGTGCATTTTCAAAACGCGTCTTTCAACATTTTCTTATTCTCCTCAACTCGATTTTTCCTTCCTCACAATCACGGTCTCTGCTTCCTAACGGATTCACAGACGAAAAAGATAAAGCAATTCCTCGAGCATGAAGAACTAGGCGACAGAAAACCGTCGCAGTTTCTACGACATCTGACCACCTTGGCCGGAACGACGGTGTCAGACGAATTGCTAAGGACCTTGTGGCTGGGGCGATTGCCTTCACAGATGCAAGCGATACTAGCTACACGAACCGAGGACGAACTGAGCAGCGTAGCAGAGCAAGCAGACCGAATACACGAGGTCAGCAACCGAACACTCGTGGCGGCAATCGGACAGTAAATGGCAGCAACACAAGCAGCCAACCCATGGACAGCGCAGATAGAAACGCTGACAAAGCAGGTCGCAGCACTCACGACACAGATGACAAGGTTCATGAAGCAAAGGAACCCTCGCAGCAGCGCAAGAGAACGTTCAAGAAGCAGGAGCCGAAATTATCAAAGAACACCTAAACAAAAGGGCATATGCTACTACCACAAACGCTTCGGAGCGGAGGCACGCAAATGCACTCAACCGTGCACGTACAAGAAGCCAAAAAACGAGGAAGGCATTCATTGAGGGCGGCCTATGACGACGACACAGAATTTCGCCGCCTGTACATAAAAGACCAGAAATCAAAAATAACATTTCTGATAGATACAGGCTCCGACATAAGCGTCTATCCACGCAGGTTTATGCAGGGAAATCAGCTGATACAACCATTCGATCTATTCGCAGCAAACGGTACGAGGATCTTAACATACGGCATGATAACCCTGCAACCAAACCTGGGATTGAGACGAGCATTTCCATGGCGCTTCACTGTAGCAGACGTAGCACAACCGATCATCGGCTCAGACTTTCTGGCTCAATATCATCTATTACCAGATGTCAAGAACCGAAAACTAGTAGACGAGAAGACCGGACTGTCCACGCCAGGAACGGCAAAATACAGCGAAGTCACCTCAATAAAAGTCGTTAAAGAGGAAACACACTACCACCGTATAATAGCAGAGTTTCCGGGAATCACACAGCCCGCAGGAGCGCAGAGGATAGCAAAACATAATACAGAGCACCATATAGCGACAACGCCAGGACAGCCGGAAGCAAGCCGACCACGCAGATTGGCACCCGATAAATTACAAGCGGCAAAAGCGGAGTTCGACCTTTTGCTGCAAGAGGGAATTATAAGACCATCAAAGAGTCCTTGGGCATCACCGCTACACATGGTGCCTAAAAAAGAGAATAACTGGAGACCATGCGGAGACTACCGCAAACTAAACGCGAGAACGATTTCAGACAGCTACCCAATTCCGCATATAGAGGACTTCGCGCAAACTCTGCATCAGAAACAGATCTTCACAACAATCGATCTGGTACGGGCATACAACCAGATCCCGGTACACCCCGCCGATATCGCAAAAACGGCAATAGCAACACCATTCGGACTCTACAAATTTCTATACATGCCGTTCGGATTGAGAAACGCTGCACAAACATTTCAACGTTTTATAAACGAAATCCTGCACGGACTAGATTACTGTTCGCGAATGGGAAAACTCGATCAGCGACTCCAAGGAACCTCCGTCCTTCGACAAGCTCGAGCTATTCTTCGATAGACGGCTGCACACCCTGGAGTTAATGCTACCTATCAAAGCCGATGGCGCCTCGAGCAAACCAGGGAGCAGCATTCAGAAGTCCACGCGCAGCCACTTCACCAGCAAGCAGGAGCTCAAACCAGAGGTCAAGCGCGGTCGCTGCGCCCTATGCCAGCGCGATCACTTCTTGATGCTTTGTGATGGGTACAAGAAGAAGACGGCGCTCGAACGGAAGCAACTCGTCGAGGCCAGCAAATTATGCCTGAATTGCCTCGGTCGGCATCAGGTAGGGGAGTGCGCTTCCAAGAAAGCGTGCTCGGTGTGTGATGCGCGTCACCATTCCTCGCTGCACGATGCCTGCCGCGAAACCGCCGTTGTAAAATCATCGCACGTCGCGCAAGGACCTTCGGACAAGCCAGTAATAGTGCTCCTCGCAACAGCCCGCGTCCGCGTCGCCGACCGACACGGATTGTTGCACCCCGCGCGCGCTCTCATCGACCAGGGCTCTGAGTCGTCAATCATCTCCGAGCGCCTCGCGCAAAGGCTGAGACTGCCACGCACACCCGCGTCGGTCAGCGTATTCGGGGTTGGTGGGCAGAAGTCCGGTCATGCCAAAGGTCGCGTCGCTCTCTCGCTTTCGCCGCGACACGGAGGGGCAGCGATGTCCATTCCCGCGCTCGTGCTTCCGCGGATCACCGTCTACGCCGGCGGAGTAGACTCCGGTGCTAGAGATTGGCCTCACCTACAGGGACTGGAGCTTGCGGATCCGGAATACGGCGCTTCTGACCCAGTCGACATACTCCTCGGAGCAGATATCCACGCCGCCATCCTCTGCCAAGGCCTGCGCAAAGGACGCCACCGCGAATTGGTGGCCCAAAACATGCGAAGTCGAGGAAGCGCGCCTGAGTTGGATCCGAGTCGTCCAAGCTGCCAACTACAAGGAGGAGTTAGCAGCCATCACGAAGGGCAAACCAATACCTACACGCAGTACACTTACCCGATTAACCCCTTTCAGAGACCCCCAGGGCATCCTCAGAGTCGGCGGTCGAATCAAGCGCGCTCTTCTCTCCTTTGACGCCAGGCACCCAATCATCTTGCCAGGAGGGTCAACATTTACTCGACTCGTCATCGAGGCGTGCCATCGCCGGACCCTGCACGGGGGCGTGCAGCTGACCCTTGGCTCCATACGCCAGGAGTACTGGATTCCCCGCGGACGGGCACTCGTCAAGCGCTGCCTACACCGCTGCTTAACGTGCTTGCGATGGCGGGCGGCACCCCCGCAGCCACTCATGGGGGACCTGCCGCGGAATCGAGTGACACCAGCTCGGCCCTTCCTCCATACAGGTGTCGAATACGCGGGACCAATGTGGCTAAGAACCTCCAAGGGACGAGGACAGCGCGCTACAAAGGCCTTCCTGGTGGTCTTCGTCTGCCTCAGCACCCGCGCCGTCCACCTCGATGTCGCCTCGGACTATTCCTCCGACGCCTTCCTGGCCGCGCTGCGTCGGCTCATCGCTCGCCGCGGGCTGTGTCGAGCCCTCTATAGCGATTGCGGCACGAACTTCGTAGGCGCCGACGCCCAACTGCGAGCGCTCTTCGCAGCCAGCGGTCAGGAGGGACAGCTTATCGCGCGAGGCCTCGCCGCCGAGAGGATTGAATGGCACTTCAATCCTCCGGCGGCGCCCAATTTCGGGGGACTTTGGGAAGCGGCTGTCAAGGCGGCGAAGCACCACCTGCGGCGCGTCATCGGCGACACGAAGCTGACGTACGAGGAGATGGCCACTTTATTAGCTCAAAAAGAATCGTGCCTCAATTCTCGTCCCTTACAGGCCTTGTCGGACGACCTGGAGGCGCTGACGCCCGGCCACTTCCTTGTCGGCACAGCACTCAACGCCGTCCCGGAGCCGTCCCTCGCTGTGGAAGCCACGACGAGATTATCCCGGTGGCAGCATATTCAACAATTACGGGACCATTTCTGGAATCGGTGGTCCCAGGAGTACCTTCAATCTCTGACGCACCGGCCTAAATGGTGTAAAGCCGACGAGGAAGTACGCGAAGGCCGACTGTGCCTCCTAAGGAGCGAAACGACGCCGCCGAATAAGTGGCCCCTCGCCAGGATCGACCGCGTGCATCCCGGGGAAGACGGGGTCGTCCGGGTCGTCGTCGTGCGCACCGCCACCTCTAGTTTTAAGCGACCACTGTCGAAAATTATCCTTAGCTCGAGCAACACTACTAGCACATCCAGATCCAGCAGCAGAATTAGCGGTAACAACAGACGCTTCAGACACTGCAATCGGAGCTGTAGTCCAACAACGAGTAGACGGAGAATGGCAGCCACTTGCGTTCCTAAGTAAAAAACTTAACAACGCACAAAAGCAGTATAGCCCGTATGATCGAGAGCTACTAAATCTCTGACGCACCGGCCTAAATGGTGTAAAGCCGACGAGGAAGTACGCGAAGGCCGACTGTGCCTCCTAAGGAGCGAAACGACGCCGCCGAATAAGTGGCCCCTCGCCAGGATCGACCGCGTGCATCCCGGGGAAGACGGGGTCGTCCGGGTCGTCGTCGTGCGCACCGCCACCTCTAGTTTTAAGCGACCACTGTCGAAAATTATCCTCCTCCCGGTTAGCACGGCACCGGAGGACGACGCGTAAAAAAAAAAACCTTTAGTACTGTATTCTCGGTAGGAATAAATTCGGGTTACGCGAATGTACACTTACCGCTGACATTGCACACTTCACCGCACAACACGTCTACACAAAACACTCACACCACCCCTCACACCCACAGTCAAAAGCACACCAGACACCGCACAGAAAGGAGTCGCGAAACTTGCGCTAACCTATCGGCTAAACACACTCGCGATATTATGCAGATCAGCTGTAGCCGAAAATTAAGAATGGAACGCGCATTCCATCGCGCCGTACCGCACCCCGTCGGCCGCTCGCCTTGGCGTCACGCTCGCGCCGCGTGACCACGAGCGGACCACAATCAGCCGCATATTACAGGTCCACGGTAAGACGGGCGCCAACCGCAGTTAATTTTGTATGTTGCATCATACAAGGCGGGCGGAATGTTCGAAATCGAACTAACGGTAATCAAGACACCTCGAATTGATCGGACAATTTACAACCGACATTCGACACGTCTCCGGAAAAGAAAACGTCGTGGCAGATTCTCTTTCTCGCGTAGAAGCTGTAGAAAAAGCAGTAAACTACAAAGCACTCGCACGAGCACAAGTGGAGGACCCAGAATTACCTCTTCCCTGAACAATAACCGGATTGTATTGCGACACAGAAACGCCTATAACACGACCATACAACAACAGCAATTATTATAACGAGCGTGATAATAAAGCGCGGCTTAATCACGCTCAAAAGTTGGCGCGCTGGCAGACATCTCGCGCGGCGCCCGGCTCGCCGCAAGAAACGCCTATAACACGACCATACATACCAGAAGCACTACGCCGACAAATCTTCCTGTCACTGCATAACCTGGCACACCCAGGAAGAAAGGCAACAGTAAAACTCATCACACAACGATACGTATGGCCACAAGCACAAAAAGACTGCACGAGATGGGCACAAGCATGCATACAATGCCAAAAAGCAAAAATCTCAAGGCATAATCAAGCACCGTTAAGAAACTTCCTAAATCCCACACAGAGATTCCAACATATACACATGGACATCGTAAGACCTCTACCAATTTTGAAAGGATACCGATATTGCCTAACCATCATAGACCGATTTTCGAGATGGCCAGAAGCCATCCCAATACGAGACATAACCGCAGAGACAGTCGCACAACACTTATACACCGAGTGGATCACACGCTACGGCACACCAGCAAGAGTTACAACGGATCAGGGCCGACAATTTGAAGCAGATTTATTCAAACAGCTAACACAGCTAACCGGTACGACGCACATAAGGACAACAGCATACCACCCGGCAGCCAACGGAATGGTCGAGCGCTTACACAGACAATTGAAGGGCGCAATCAAATGCTACCAAACCACCTCATGGACGGAGCAACTGCCAACAATACTTCTGGGCATTAGAGCTGCATAGAAGGAAGACCTGCAGGCAATCCCCGCCGAGATGGTTTATGGAGAAACAATTCGCCTCCCTGGACAATTCCTACGGGAACAACAGGGACGGGAGAGAGAGCAACAAGCAGACACCGCAGTAGAGAAACTACGCAAAACTATGCAACAGTTAAGACCCGTAATGAAAAGGCACGGACAGAAAGCAGTATTCATATTCAAGGACATGGCAACGACACCACAAGTCTTCGTACGCCATGACGCCCCAACCGGAGCTCTACAGCAACCATACGACGGACCATACGAAGTACTGCAAAGAAACGAGAAGACATACAAGATCAAGGTCAACGGAAAACCAGTTAACATCTCAATAGACAGACTGAAAACAGCATACGTCCTAGAAGGAT